ACTTACCACGTAGCAAAATTTTTCGCAGCGATCTTCTCATGGTGGTGCAGTTCCATCTGCGATTTCGAAACTGGTACTGACACTCTTTGGTTCCGACTTGGACGCCTTTCGCGATCTCCTTCAGCAACGAGGGTTCCTTGCGACAGATGTCCGCCATCTTGCCCTTCAGTCTTCTAGTCTTCTTGCAGATGAGCATCGGATCCATCACCACCTGATTTCCAACGGTCCTGCGAACAAGTGAAACATCGATCAGTCAAGCGAGCAGCCTCCGCGGCGCAGACCGACGCGAGATTTTTTTCGCTCGTCGTACCAAGCGTACCGAACGTACACGCGGAAAATCAAACGTACCGAGGCCATCACGATAATTAAATCTCCGATCCATCCATTGTGTGCTGGTCGTGGCGAGCTAGCTGATCGGCAGAACGCGGTCTACGGGGACCGCGAGTGAAGAACAATCCAGAAACGGAGAGGACGAACGCGAACGCGCAGGCAAAAAGAAAAGCGGATCGAAGAGTATCGTGAAGAAGAGTATCCTACACACAGTGGGAACCGCGAGTCCTCTCCTTCGGGACCAGAAAGAAGAGGAGCAAGCACGGAGAGACGACGAACGGCTGAGACGACCGAGACCACGGAGTTGGATATAAAAAAATTGAAGAAAGAAGAGCGGAGAAGGGAAGGGGAAATGGGAAGAAAAGAACGAGAAACGAAGAGAAACGGACGCGAGAGAGTGTATCGAGGGGTATAGAGACGGAGGTGCAGCAGGCAAGTGGAGGACACAGTCCGAGCGACCTTCGTTACGAAACGTTAATTAAGATCATTAGTTCTGCGTCGGTAGGATGCCGGGGCGCGTACACGACGGCCTCTCGGGAATGCAACGACCTTAATGGCAATAATTCCGTTAAGGACGGTTGCTCGCGCCCGTGTACGTCGCCGGCGCGGCCAGCGATGCTTCTGCTTTTCGTTCCACACGAACCACGAGTAAAAAGAAAGAGAGCCCCGTAGGTAATACAGGCGGACAGTCGTGCACCGGTGACATCGTCATTTGGGCGAGGATTCCAGCCTCGCGGACGACGAGGCTGTAACCAGCGAGGACAAGAACGTTCGATGCGCGGACAAGAATTCTCGAGAAACTCGCGAACCAGAGAGATCGAAACGCGTTCAAGGGAGGAGGGATCGAGACAGAGAGGAAAGAAAAAGAGAAGAAAAAAAGAGACTCAGTCGCGACCCGCGATCCGCCTTCCCCAAGGAGAAAAAAAGCTAAACGTTGCTCTCGTTCACGAGCAAAATATGGCTCATGTTACGTCTCGCGGGACGATCGGACCCGCTGCCAAGGTACAACGCGCAAGAACTTCATTCGCCTGCTCGATATTCTTGCTCGATGCTCGTTCTCGATAACCCCATAACGGACCGCGGTTCGTCCCAACGTCCCCCCCCCC